TGTGGGCCAGGCTAGGGGAAATGGCCCGGGAGGGTCCCGTGCAGCTGCAGAAAACTGGCAGCCTCTGAACGAGGGGGAAGGCATCGTGCAACGTCGAGGGGCGGGGAGAGGGGGCGGAGGAGCTCTCTCTGAATCCAAGTCGGTGGCTCTCTCAGAAATCCTCAGGCCAAAGCAGAGGGGGCTGGCGGGCCCAACAAGGTTCTGCGCCCCTGCTTTCTTAACATCGCCCCCTCTTTCGGACTGCCATCACTGGAATCACGGGTGCTCGTCCTGAGCAGGTGAGCGCCCTGGGTCTTAGACCTCCTGCGAGGGGCATCCTTCCCACCTCCGTCCTTGTTCCCACCCGCATTATCAACTTCCTATTTCTGGAGTGGTCCACCCATTTCCATCTCTGGGCCAAGGAGCGAGCATTGGATGGTGTTTGGAGGTGATACTGGTGCGGGTGGTGTGTGGGTTGTGTGCCCTGAGCTGCTCTCATCCTTTCCTCCCACCTCTCCTCACTCCCTGCCCCCACCCCCCCCATGCAACCCGATCCATTGCTGACCAGCATAAGTGGGTAACGCCTACTGGGTCACTAGGCCTCTGTGTTGGGTTGGGGTGGGGGGAGTTGACTTGACTCCAGGGTAGCAAGGGAGGGCGCAGTGCTAGGGTCAAGTTTCAGTCCTAGGAGCAGTGAGATTGGTCTTTCGGCGTAGGTGTTGTTTCTGACCTCCTGACCTCGCTTCCCTCCCTGGCAGGCTGCCACCAGCGCGCTGATAACCCCGAGGGCTTCCAGCTAACCATGCGGCAGCCGCCCTCAGCTGCCCTAGTGCTGCCCCTGCTACTGCTAGCATTGCAGACGCCGTCCTCGACCAGCGCGAGACCGTCCCCGGGCCCCGATTACCTGCGGCGCGGCTGGTTGCGGCTGCTAGCGGAGGGCGAGGGCTGCGCTCCCTGCCGGCCAGAACTGTGCGCCGCGCCGCGGGGCTGCCTGGCCGGCCAAGTGCGCGACGCGTGCGGCTGCTGCTGGGAATGTGCCAACCTCGAGGGCCAGCTCTGCGACTTGGATCCCAGCGCTCACTTCTATGGCCGTTGCGGCGAGCAGTTGGAGTGCCGGTTGGACGCAGGCGGCGACCTCAGCCGTGGAGAGGTGCCGGAGCCGCTATGTGCCTGCAGCTCCCAGCGCCCGCTCTGCGGTTCCGATGGCCGCACTTATGCCCAGATCTGCCGCCTGCAGGAGGCGGCCCGCGCTCGGCCCGACACCAATCTCACCGTGGCGCACCCAGGGCCCTGCGAGTCGGGTATGCACGGCCGCGGCCCCTCTCCCCAACACTTGGGCTCCCTCCAGGCACTGCCAGGATCCCCAGTTGGTCTCTGGCTAGCAGAGCGGAAAAGATGAGGCTGGGGAAGCCCTGAGTCCAGGCTGCCTCCTGAAGGTGTGGGTCTGTCAGCAAGCTTCGGACAGCTCCAGACTCTGGTGGCAGGGACCAGTCCTCTGAGAGCGGGCACAGAGCCAGTGAACACCGGGCTCAAAACGGAATGAGACACCCAGACTTTGCAAAAACCGCTGGAGCCCAGGCAGCAAGACACGGGTTCCTGGGAGATGCAATCGGATTTCCTCTGGGCAGCTTCTCAGAGCAATCTCTTAACCCAGTCTTGCCTTCACTGCCCTGTCCTTGTTCAGGGATTAGTGAAGGGGGTTCTTCAGCCCCACCAATTCCTAGGGCTGGGGGCCATCTGAGTCTCAAGTTCTCTCTGGGAGCTTTCACTTCCAGAGCCCCAGGTCTGGCTTGGCTGGGGCTGCCTGCAAAACACACACCCGGCAGGGGTCCAGACAATTTCCTCCGCTCTCCCAGGTTTCCTGCTGCTCAGGGCTGGTTTCAGGTTCTCTGCCTTCCATTGCCCTACCCCCGGAGTGAGGTGGAGGAAGGGCTACTCTTTGGGTCTTTGGGAACTGGGCCTATTTGGAAAAGGGGGAAGGTGGGGGAGGGAGGTGTTGGCTACTTGTACAGCAGGGAAGAGGGGGTGGAATGAGGACAGGGAGCAGTTGGGGACAGAGTGTTGCTGCCAGGCTAAGATGTGGGTCTGTGTAGTCGTTTGTGGATGGTGTCTGCGTGGAGCTCTGTGTGCCTCTGTGTGCACGCCTCTCTGCGCTGTGCCCGTGCGGGTACCTGCATCTCCCTCTGCATGCACCTGTGTACGCATCGTGCTGTGTTTGTGTACTGTGTCCCACCACAAGCATATCCACAGTAATTTTTTTTTGAGAGGTTTTTGCTATAGGGCGCGTGTGCTTGCCAGAAAGACAGAGAGAGACAGAAAGTGAGAAATCACCCCCCGGGGGGGATGGCCACACCGCAATCCCTTCTCCTCCATTCTCCCTTAGATCCTGGGCACGGGCGTACACACACCTGGCGTGAGTTTAAGCCGCCAGGTCCAGGACTCGAACCTCAGTCGACTACGTGGGAGTCCAGTGACATAGCCATTATGCCAACTGCTGGTTCCATCCATAGTAATTTGTATCTTGTGCCTTTGCTGGGTGGGATCTCTTGTTCTCAGGCCTCCTTCCTTTACCCCCAGGGCCCCAGATTGTGTCGCACCCTTATGACATTTGGAATGTGACAGGCCAGGATGTGATCTTTGGCTGTGAGGTGTTTGCCTACCCTATGGCTTCCATAGAATGGAGGAAGGATGGCTTGGACATCCAGCTGCCAGGGGATGACCCCCACATCTCTGTACAGGTAAGAAGGGGGAGGGGACTTCCTTGGGCAGGCCAGGGTCCCCCAGGAGGACCCTGCTAACTCCTCATTGGGCTCCAGTTTAGGGGTGGGCCCCAGAGGTTCGAAGTAACTGGCTGGCTGCAGATCCAGGCGGTGCGTCCCAGCGACGAAGGTACCTACCGCTGCCTCGCCCGCAATGCCCTGGGTCAGGTGGAAGCCCCGGCTAGCCTGACAGTGCTCACACCAGGTAAGGCAGAGCCCTGAGCTCTCGGGGTGTGGGGATGTTACTGGACTAGGACTTCTGAACATGCGTGTGAGAAAGAGAGAGCACGTGTGTTTGGGCACGTGGGCGCATGCACAAGCGTGGCCTTCCCCCAGACTATGGGATGTGTGCCCTGAAGCCGCCTCTCCTGTTCTCTCTGCCTTGCCCGTGTGGTCTGCAGATCAGCTGAACTCCACGGGCATCCCCCAGCTTCGATCACTGAACCTGGTTCTTGAGGAAGCTGAAAGTGAAGAGAACGAGGATTACTACTAGCCCGTGCTCTGGCTCACAGGGGGACGTGTGGGTACAGAGGTCACTCTGCTCTGGAAAAGACCGGGAAGGAGGAGCAGGGCCCCTCATGGATTGCTCGAATGCGTTTAGGGGTGGTCATGGTGGCAGTGGTAGGCAAGAGCCACGTTGGAGGAGGGTGGGGAGAGGCAGAGACTAGAAGAGGTGAGTTCAAAGAGGCCCCAGCAGGAGGATCTCCAACCTGGACCAGCCTGTCAAGGCAGCAGCGGCTGCCGGCCCCCAGCCGGGGTGGGGCCCCAGGCAAAGCACACGG